CTGGAGCCGCTTCCAGTAGTTTCATTGTATGGCAAATTGTTGTACGCCAACGAGGGTCAGAGCGCGTCCATTGCAGCAATGGACGCAAAACGTGGTCAGCACTCACACACTTATCACGAAACGGTTGCTTTCCAAAGTCGACGACGCATCGACCGAAAGAACTGCTGATGAAGAACAATGAGGAGGACCACACAATGGTTGCTGCCGAGTAAACAGACGATCGCGTAGCACACATCGAGAGTGGCCTGCTTTTGTCGACAGCCGAGTGAACACTGAAGTTCATAGTTGATTCTATTCTGAAACTTATATGAAGTTTGTCAATGAGCGATCGTAGATGGGATGCAGGAACCACCACATCTCATTTTTTCATACTGGGACTGTCCAGAATCTCCTTTTGAATTGACTGGATTGTTTGGAATCCCCCTTGAATTTTAATGAATCCCCTTCAATATTGAGTAAAATCCTCCCTAAGATTGTCCGGAATCTCTCCTGGGATAGTCCATATTCCCTCTTTGGATTGTCCGAAGTTCCCTTTGATATTGTTGGGAAGCTGCACTGGGATTTTAATGAATCCTCCTTGGGATTGTCCATCAGAATCCGTACTATGCGGTTGCTAATGTTTGCAGTACTCGAACGACTTGGCAGTAAAGGAAAACATCTCTGACTGTTCCGTAAGGTCACCAAAAAAATCTTCCATCGATTTTGAGGGGCAGCTTGTAGTTCCATTCGTACACGTACAATACGAAAGTGCAATTGCCCTTCCATTGCCGAAAGATCTTCCTGGTTAAGCATTGCAAGCGCACCGTTTAAAATGTTGTTGTAATACGTAAATTTGCAGGCTTGACAGTATCGGTTGCTATGCGTATTTGATGTTGAGCAACGCGAGTTACTCAGAGTTAATCAAAATTAACTCAGATATTACTCATGATCAAAAGCTGTCTTGCCCCAAGACTGGCTCTGATTGCTGTTCGACGGACCAGGATCTGCGTTCAGCACCGGCTTCCACCTTGTATCATCCTCAATACACTCCCGAAATTCGATTCCTTATGGCCAAGATAAAGGATCCATAGCTTTAGACTTCAATTCGAGGCTGACTCCCACCTTGTATGATACGAAAGACAGTTTCGACAGGGGCCGGCCTCTTGGTATCAGCGATTTCACAAAAACTTCGTCCACATTCAAAGATTCATTGGCGAGTTTCTCGATGTCTGACTTGTAAGCTGCGGCTTACCTGCCAGCCTATAGCTGGCCCGATTTTACCCTGGCGGGGCGGCCTCGAGCAAGGGTACTTCCCCCAAAGACGTTCGGATTTGGGTGAAACAAAACAACAAAAAGAAAATGCAATTTTAGACGTCTATTATCCACTGCTGCTGTTCGGTGGGGCCCTTCGATGACGGTCTGGTGGCGGTTCTGCTGCTACAAAGCACGGACTGTGCTGAGCGGTTTCCTTATTTGGCTGCTTAGCAGCTGTCCTTAACACTTATCGGGGGGATGAGCTGGGCTCGTCTGTTGGAACCCCCCCCCCCCCCCCGACGACGTTGGTGACGAATCACCGGATTGCCTACTCGCCGTAGGCAACCCCGGCAGACACCGCAGTGTTTCTGCCCAAGCAAACTCACCTGTAGTACTGCCTGCTTCGTCCTGCTTGACAATTAACTGCGGTGGCGAGACTGGCTCTATTGGCTGAGCCACTACAGTCAGGATGGCGGGTGTTGGCCGGATCCTTGGTGATTAGCCAGAGAAGCGTAACGCTCCTTCTTCCCACAATGGCGATCCGACACCCTTGGTTGTTGCACCAAACAACACTAAGATGCGTCCTTGCACTCGCGACGCGATTGGAAATTCTTCTCGGGACTAAGGGAAAAACGTCTCCGAACCAAAAACCCGCGTAGACTCCACCGTGGCTCGAATTGTTCTCCTTTTCCGACAATCACGGACCATAACAAAAACCGCCATCGTTCTCCTGCAACCGCGTTCGACTGTCATGTTGATTATGTTTTCGCCTTCTTTTGCAGCGGGAAGAGAAACAGGACCTAATTTTATATGAAACGCGAGACAACATGAAACGATAATTTTTTCCTTAGCTAACTAAACTAACAACATAAAAAACTGAATAAAATTACGCGCAAATTTTACAAATTAAAATTATCCATGAAGGCATAGTGGTGAGTATGTTGCCGGCCGTGAAATGACAACAAAAACAAAACATAACAAACACAGCACACGCTCGTGTGAAACACGGCTTAATTACACTCGGTGGCAAAACTACACAAAGCGGGATTAATTGTAACACGCAGGTTACAGACTGTGAAACGTCGGGTGATATTTTGGTTAAGTAGACCCAGAACTTGTCTACCGATTTATCTACAGCGGCTGATGATACGTTGAGCACCGTCAAACCGATGCCACGTAGAATTTTGGCTGGTTGATAAGATGAAGCGTTTTCGTCATCACGCTTCCCAGACAACCAGAAGTCGTATAACAATGTACAGACAGTATCGTAAATTGCTACAGTTTAAGTCAAAATCGCATATTAGAATGGCATACCTCGCATTATGTTTAAGTTAAATCGTATAGAATGCAAATTTCCGACTTATATGCGATGACTCATTTTTCCGTCGTACTGTATCACAAATTTAATCGGATTACATCGTAAGACTTTTCAAAATGGATTAATTATTATAGAACAAATTGCATATGATGTTAAATCAACTCGTTTTAAATTAAACGAAAATATGCACGTTTATGGCCTCCACTTTTGTACGTATAAGCCATTTCTTTGCATTCTATACGACTTGTTTGTTTGTATATATGTTTGTATATCACGAAAACAACTTTGAATATACGTGCATTCTGGTTGTCTGGGTTTCTTTTTGGCGTGTTGGAATTCACCTTCACCCTTAGAAATAACTAGTTTTACACTTGACGGAATCCATCTTTGACATAAAGGATGAGACGTAAACAAACATGTCATGTAAAATTAAGTGCTCCAAGACTGAAAAGTTCGTTACTCGAAGAATAGTACGTTTGATTGATTCGCGTCTATTATTATTCAATTTTATGTCAAAATTGACGCTCGTATATGTCAGTCTCAGAGCACCTATATTTACATCTGTATATCTTGAAAATCCGAGGAAAAGGAGATAGTAGCACCGGAGACAGCTTGTTCAACCCTCCTTGGATCTCCTGTCTAATCTTGACTATCAGGCTGGCCTTTATCTCACTCTTAATTTCTTCAATTATTGTTTGGTAAGTATCGTTGAGTTCCATCGCAGCAGCATTCATGGGTGTCAGAGCGTTCTTAAAATGAGCATTACTCATAATGTTGCAGCAGCCTTTTCACATTCAGAAAATAGCGAATGGGATTCGAATTCTTGCCTTTGTATCTAACTATTCGTTAGCGTTAGGTATGATTCGAGCAATTTGAGCAATTAATTTTAATTTGAGTAGTAGGACGGGTATGTTTCCTTAGATATTCACCTTAATTTTTTACCATAGCTTCTTATTCTACTTTTTGCTTTCTCTTACTGAGATTCTAAATATCAAAATTGATCTTCAGCCTTGATCTTGACTTGCGCTTATTTTCTTGTTCTTCAATGTGACATTAGCATAGTTCTAAGGTTCAAAAACAAATGACCATACACCGAGCTATTCGTCATCACAAACAAAACAGAATTTCGATTCCCCATATTTACGACAAAACTAAATTCTAACGACGCCAAGATTTATTGCCCAAAAGAGCCAATAATCATGACACATCGTTACACATAATAAAATTCAATCTGTTGTCGTGTCCCTTTTCCCTTTCAACTCTTGCCCGGATAAAAACGACAACAGTCACACAGACTAATGTCTCCAAAGGAGCTTAGAAATTCCAAACCTCCAACGTAGAATCATCTAATAAAAAAGAAATATTCATCAACTAATCAATTTGTAAGGTTCTTTTTTCATCCTCACTTCCCATCTACAAAATATCCAGTAGCCACCGCATTGAACTAGACTGCAGTACCTAACCGTACGGGTAAAGCCATAAATCTCCATTCCTCTGATCATCCCATCCATTATCGATTAAGACGACGAACGGACGGGCTATGAAGAAAAAGTACCCCCTGTCATAGAAACCGCATTCCCAATCCGTCTCAGTTCTTTCTTTCTCGTTAATTTGGGCTTTTAAGAACCATAAAATTTAACAAAACGGACACGTTCCACGTTCTGCATCCATTGTGATGGGGAGTCGGCGTTTTATGCAGGCCCACTGCGATGCATATCAATTGCAGTCACCAAGTAATTCCAATATGGTGGATTCCAGTCTGCACTTGGCGATTCGGAAATCACATAGCTCGATTTGTACAAATTGTAAGAGTACGGATTTTTTACGCGTCGGATGGGGGTGCGTGAGCATGACCTTTGCTGTAAAAAAAAAATCCTTCCTAACCAAGCAGAAAGTGTTTACTCTGCCAGAAACTAGCGAAAGAAGTACGTTCCCATTATGGTGAATCAGCTGTTTTTCAATTCGCTTTCCGAACGTTCATTCCCTTCTTGACGGAAGAACGGTGCTCTACAGTAACTGGTAGCGGTCTCATCCCAGGTGGCCTTGAAACGGCAACGCATTGCGCCACAGTAGGCGCTGCTGCAGAATCCTCCATAAAATTTAACGACCACTGACTGCTTTTAGAGAGTTTATCGACAAGGCGAAAAATTATTTATCGCCCAATGCTCTCAAGCCGAACGAACGGATGCTAGAGGAAGCCTAAGTAAAGCTAGACAAAAGGGAGAGACCGTGCTAAACACAGAACAAAACATTATGAAATTCAATTAAGTTTAATTTTATCGCTCGCTTGATCTTGGCCTGTAACTAGACTTCTGCGCTCCGGCGGGCAGATGTTCGTCGGGCCTAATGGGACTTTATGGACTGGTGGGAAAATACCACGCGTGTGATATTGAGATCCAGGGCTGAAGTTCTGACCGGGCATTTTTTTATTTTTTTTTTTCTTTTCCAGCCCGACGAAACCGGAAAGCATCAGCTTCTGCCGGCCGTAAGACGCCCCCTGCTCAGAGCACCCGAGAAGCTCGAACAGCGCCTACTTGATCCGAACCTCAACGAACTCAACGACCGATCGTCGGCCGAAGCCAATGGCGACGAGAGCAGCGAAGAGTTTCCCAATGGCAACGGCCTCAAACGGGACAAGCTACAGCAGCAGCTAATCCAAAAGTCCAAACTCAAGTCTTCAAACCTCAAAAGTACCACCTACACGCGAAACACGGAAAATGACAAGTTGACGAGACACTTGAACAACGTTAAATTTGCGTTCGATGAACCGCAGCCCACCACTGCTGGCACCGCCGCGGCAAAACCAGCCGCAGCGACAGTCGCAAAAACAGTTCAGTCGGAAGAGTTGATTAAATTGGATGACGAGGCAAGTGCGAAAAGAGGTGAAGATCAAGTGGACCATAACGGCAATGGTAACTATGATGTCCTCCCACCACCGCCGCCGCCGCCGGAGGTCATTCTCCAGATCGTCGAAAATACCGACGAAAATAGTAACACCCACCTCCGACCCCCGGCGCCGGATGTAGTCAAAAGTAGCACCGAGAGCATCCCATACATCGATGACGAACAGTCCCAGGTGCTGCGCAGCCTGAACAATGACCCGAGCAAGCTTCGGAACTTTCACGATGCTCGAATCATCACCCTTACGCCAAAGAATGTCGGCTCCCAGGTGGAGAAGCTCCGGGGACCGTCGAGTCCGGAACTGCAGCAGCTGGTCCGGGCCAAACTGCACACCATCGAGCCGGATGTTACGAAAATCCGATTTACGCACAGCTTCCACATACTGGCCAGTGGTTGCTGCGATCGGGTCTGCCAGCACTGTCACCTGGTGCTGAGTCTGGATGTGGCCTTGCGATGTGCCGTGTGCGAGTTCACGTGCCATCAACGATGCGTGCAGTTGCAACAGGTGAGTGCGGTTTTGCTTTTTGTTTTCAATCAATTTATTAACGGTTTGAGTCCGAACTGAAAGCGTAACGCCTCCCTCAGCCGAAGCAAATAGCTTCGCAAATTATCCGAAAGGGGTCTTTCAGTTGGCGTTACAATACTCTCGCAGTGAGCGAATCAAAGTGCTCTCTTGCTCCGCTACTCCGCGAAATAGAGAAAGAGCGAATCAAAGCGCGGTTCCACTTTGGTCGTATTACGGAAAGCAAAACAACCAAATGAAATGTAAACATTGAGCGGTGGCCGGAATCCACCGCTCAGCAAGCAACACGTGCTCCCCTTGCTCTTGGTTAAATCGCGTAACCATCAAAATAAAACATCAAAACAAGCTTTGAAACGCAAAAGTACCGCTACCGAACCGACCGCAGCAGTGTCGGCCTTGATCGAATTCTCTTTCTCTCCAACAAAAAAAAAAAATAATAAAATCCGAAACTGTCTCCGAGTGATGTGCGATGGGAGTAAGTTGAATGTAATTCCCTGCGGTGATAAGATAACGATCTGAAGCTTGGAATCGATTTTTAATTGAATTGCTCAATACGAATGCGGGGCTGGGATTGCGAGTTGGCTATACGGGACGATTTTATAATGTTTCTTTTTTATTGCTGGCAGGGAGAAACTAGAGTGAGATTTATGGTGAATTCATTGTTATTCAATTGAAATTTGTGTAAGCCGATGGGAGGCAAATGATTTCTGCGGCACATGTGCTGTCTTAGTGGTGTCGGATCAGCGTATATTCACACAATGGATCAATGATGATGGTTAGATTTTGGATGTAGCGTTCTGATTGGTACTCATTTGATCCTTTTTGTATTGAGAGTGTTCATAACTCAGAATTGAGTAACTTTAAGGATTGACAGATAAGATAACGTACATATAACGTATGGAAGTGAGTGGGCAAGGGGCGGAACGCTCGCACTAGAGAATCCGGATTAAGAATCCACATGTTGCGCGAGAGCCACGAGAATCCAAATGTTGTTGGGAACTAGTACAGAATCTGGTACCTACAGCTGGCGACGAGGATGGCATCTTATACTGGTTACAGTAATTTGTAATTTAAATCTAATTCAGACTGCGGAGTTATGACACGCATCTATATATCACAGACGTAACGCTTCCTTCTGGATCATCGTTCACTCATTGCATCTCGGAAAATAAATGACTCACTCTATTTTTATCCCATAAAAATTTTACTCAGTTTCGTAAAAAGTGGAGCTACTCAGTGCTATGAGTAACTCGACTTTTTACGAAACTGATTAAAATTTGTATGAAAAAAAGGAAGTCAATTTGACTCAGTCTTTGAGTTACTTTCGACGGGCATGTGTATTCTATACTGTGCTCTTGATAAAAGAGAACCACCGGTCTAAACGTGGAATCTGGACTTAGAAAAATGGTGTACTTTGCCCAAATTCGCTCTATTATACTGGAAATAATATAACTGTACTTAAACCTAATATGAATCTAGGGAAATATATCTGGAGAACTTTGATATTTGGGCGTAATTGCTTTTGTAAACAAACACGTTAATCACCGATTGCTCGCGAATAAAAGCTGAATCTCGCAAACAAACTATACCAAATGATAGAAGAGTCATTCCTATACCTGTTTGTGTTGTTATTTTTTTAGATTCGCGAGAAATCGGTGCTTGTCGTGTTTGTTTACAAAAGCAATCACACCCTAATATCGAAGTTCTCCGGATATGTATGCTACCACAAGTCAGTAGTGAAGTTTATGCAGATGTGACAAGAAATTACCTGAAAATCACAAAATTTAGTAGAAGCACCTCTAAATTAGAGAGGGTTTAGTATAAAAGAGGAGCGGATTCAAAACAAACTGCCTTGGTAACCTATGCCTAGGTGAATTTTAGCAACACTGCCAATGCCACCAAGATAGGCGCTGCTCGATTGGCTCTGGCTTTGACTGTTCGTTTGGCTCAAAACCAGCCAGTCCGCTCCTTTCTTATACTTGACCCTCTCTACTCTAAATCATCACCAATTTTGCTGAAAAGTTGTCCAGAAGCTCATCTTGGATCCCGATATTTTTTTGTAAGAATGAAAAATTATACCTTTTGGGCAATAATTAATTTATTTTGCTAAAATTCAGCCATCTTGGATCTGGTGAAAATATGAAAATGGAGTACTTGAATTTTTTCCACAAATTAAAGCGTTGAAACGGTTTTTATGATCGAAATGTTGTCTGAGACACATTTTTCCTTCTCGGGAAAATCATCATAATATGTTTTTTTTTTAATATTTTAAGTAAAAATTTAAAAACAAATTACCCGATTTTATAAAATATATTTTGAATAAACGCCTTTTTTGATTTTACACTGAAGTGCCTAGATCCTTCTGGGCTACAACCCTGGATTTTCGAGATTTAAAAAAAATCAACTTTCAGAAGAGATTACTCCACAATCAAATAAGCTTTTCGTGATCTTAGAACGTCAATTTGAAGGTTTTTTAATATAGATTTACATAAGTGTGCCCACATTTTGCTTTTGTTATAGTAACTACAGTAAACAGACTGATTACCGAAAGGTATCATAATTGCCAAAAAATTGCCTATTTTCACCATGGGCGGGATTTTTTATTTCTTAATATTTTGGGCTCAAATTTTCATCACACTTTCGAAAACTCTTCTACTAGATGTGTTTCGAAGGGCCAATGATTTGAAAAAATTGGTTTTGAGATATGACCAGATGAGTGAGTGGTTGTTTTGAGCTATTCTGGTAGAAAATCAATGCTATTTAATTTTATTTTTTCTATTCTTAGAAGAAGAACATGACAGTTACGATAATGAATGGAAAGTGTGTTTTCAACAAATGAAAAATAAAGGTTCAACATTTATTTTTCTTTATAATTACATTAACAAAGCATTCTTGCTCGTGAGATTGTATCTAAAAAAAAAAGATCAATTAAGGGTTACATTCAAAGTGTTTTTATGTTACTTCATACGCGAAATTAGCAATTTTCAGAGTTGGTTGGAAATGCTAACATGAAGCTTAAGTGTGATAATTTATTAACTAGAGAATGATCTTTAGAAGAGGGTAGGTGGATAGTTCTATTAGAGTACGGCAGTATGAAAATTGATGAAATTTGAATATGAAGTTGAAAATGAGCGAAGGGCCATTAATGCGATAGTTTTTAAAGTCAAACGCACATCTTTTGCCTAACCCGTACGATGTACGCGGAGACGCGGAGTATCACTCGCTCATTTTCAACTTCTATTCAATTTTCATGCTGCCGTACTCTAACGGAACTATCCACCTACCCTCTTCTTAAGATTATTCTCTGACTAATAAATTATCACACTAAAACTTCATATTAGCATTTCCAAACAACTCTAATTAAGGGTATTATTCAAGTAGCAGCTGTCATCCACAACTGAAATTTTATGTACCTGCTTATCTATCTGATTTCATCGCACTTCTAAAGCACAACATTTTGGCTGTATCCTATAAGAATATATTTTCGACGAGGCTCGGTAGCTCAGTGGTTACCGTTTCTGCTTACTGAGCAGAAGGTCGGGAGTTCAATCCCAGGCCCGTCCCCTTACTTGCAATTTTTCACTTTGCCTTATTCTATACCCACTAGATTTTAATGAAACCAAATTCTTCTTTAACACCGATCACATCACTTACCACAGTGTGGGTCCTGATCTAAAAATAGAAATTGGATGAGTGCGCGCGCGTGTGTGTGTGTGTGTGTGTTTGTGTATTATAATCGCTCTACCAAAAACGATCCCTGCGTGTGCGTGCAACCTTTCCCCACATCCAACATCCCAGTGATTTCTCGTGGAAGCGCAGAGGATTTCTCGGTTTCCTTCACAGCGAGTATCACGTGAACACATTTCCTTCCCATTCCCTAGTTGACCTGCATTCGGACACGGCCGGCGCTGGTATTGCTAAATATTAGATCTCCAGTTCTTACACATTGAGGATGAATGTTAGTCCCAAACATCATCTGTTGGTTCTCTGTGTAATTGCAGCTGATCTGGTAATAACAGAGCAGCAACCGTGGGCGGTCAATCTGATTTCTGATTTCTGATTTCTTTTCCTATAAGAACATATTTTCACTTTTAGGACCACAATTATATTATATACAGAAGTAAATAAATGAACTAGGCCATATAACGAGAATTCTGCCTATAATATGCTACAAATAACATAAGAATATTATTGTGCCATCGGCGTGAAGGAATTCGAGGAAAAATAACTAAATATTAAATAGCTTTGATTTTGAACTACCTCAGACTCATCAGTTCATATCTCAAAAACTATTTGTCCAAATAATTTGCCCTTGGAAACACAAAAAGTAGAAGAGTTTTTCAAAGTGTGGTGAAAATTTGAGCCCAAAATATCAAAAAATAAAAAATCCCGCCCATGGTGAAAATATACCATTTTTTGATAATTTGGATACCTGCCGGTAATCTGCCTGTTTACTGCAGTTACTATATCAAACAAAAAAATATGGGTACACTTATAAGAGTTAACATTAAAAAACCTTCAAATTGACGTTCTAAGATCACGAATAGCTTATTTGGTTGTGGTGTAATCTCTTCTGAAAGATGATTTTTTTTAAATCTCGGAAATCCAGGGTTGTAGCCGAAAGGGACCTAGACACTTCAGAGCAAAATAAAAAAGGCGTTTATTCAGAATGCCAATATAAGCGTTTTGGCTAAGTTTAGTTCAAATCAGTGACATCGACCACAGGTGGTGTACCCACTTGAGCTGGAATGACCCATATACAACTTTGTCCCACACGTCACTTCGATCAGAAGTGCCATTTCAAAATCGTGATGAGTATTTCAGGCATTTTATTGAAAAAAAGATCAATAATGAGGGCAGAGGGTCGTTTCAGGACAATTCCAGAACATTAATGAATAAGATTCCAGAACCATTCTAAAATGAACTCAGCTCTAAGGGGCTGGAAAGCAATACTGGTATAATCTTCTTCCTCGACTCGAGAC